TTTGGAAACACCGATGCACGCAGTTTCTTCACCTCAGTAGCACTAGTTTCGATCTTGTCTTCCATTTTTCATGATAATCTGGATTACCCAAAAATTTCGTGAACTGTGCCATTAACCAATACCGTGTGTTAGAGATTCGGTTGGCTTAAGCGGGTAACAAGCCAAGATTCGATCCCCTGATCATGCTTCTGCGGTAGCGCCCCACTTACCACTCACCCTGCCATTGGAATAACTCAAACAAATGAAATAACATGAATAGGCTTTTTTGTTGATTCTAATGTAGATGTGTTGTTAATTTCTCTTCCCGCATACAAATATGAAATTAAGCCTGCGGCAGGGGAGCATAAATGACTGAATTTTGTCCTGAGACTGTTAAGTTATGTGCATACAAAGCGTTCACAATGCATACAAATGACCATCACCTGTATCACCTGATGTCTCGTTTATCATCGATTCGCTCGGGAGAGTCAGTAATGTCTCCCCTCGTCCCTGTTGCCATCCGTTGTTTAAAGCTTTTGTGATGAGATCTGACCATCAGGCTGGTGGCCGTTCCTTTGACGTCCTGAGAGATCCAGTCAGTAATAGCCCGCAACCTGGCCCATCTTATCTTCAATTTTTTGATGTAAGTAACAGTGCCCCTGGTCTTTGTTCGTTGATCGAACTCGGAACGCTGAAGCTGGAGCTTAGTCAGTTTGATGACTTGGTGAACTGGATGGTTCCACCACAAAGGATTTGTATGGGTAGTGTACTTACTGTTTACGAGCCGTAGATTAGATATGTAATAGCTATGTCCTCAAAGTGCTCCGGAACGCCTATCGCGTCACGCCCCTCCCCCATTCATCTCATCTCTCACACTATGAGTGCTACAGTCTGGGAACTGCCTATATAGCCATAGATTGTCTCTGTCTCCTAGCTCGAAACGCATAGCCACATCTTTGCGCCACGAACCCGTAGACCTCATGGAATCATTTGCCAATGCTGGAGATTTTATTGTCTTGCACTGTACCTTCACAGAGCTTCATGAACCCTAAAGTAGGGCTGACTTTTTGATTGACTTCTCTGCTCTGCAAGCCCTACTTCCAAGGAATTTAATCGCTTGATTTGATTTTGTTGAGGAATTTACAACTAATTTCCATGATTGAGCATACTTCTTACTAGAATCGTAACTATGCTCTCAGTTGCATTAACGATTTAATGAGAATTTACTTTTGAAATTCCATATATGGACTGATTACATTCCCGATAGCTTCTGCAAAAGTGAATTGTCCAATATTAGCGGAGCTGCGAATGTTTTTCTTTCCCGAGCTGTTTGCACTGAATCATCTGCGTTTGTTCGGTCATGTCCCCTATTGAATTTTCCATATGCAAAACTGAAATTCGTGGAAACAGTCCCATTCAGTCACTCTTTTACGTTCGCATTAAGTGGTGGGCTGTTTAGACGACTTCATCAGCTGGCCATCCACTTCAGTGCTTATGAACCTCCTTCTAATTACATCGATAAACCCGATAGCCTTCATTTCAGCACTTTGTGTCCCTCTATACCTGGTAAACCTCTACGAAACTGTGCAACTCCGTTTACTTGATATAGACAAATTGTAAAATCTTCCAAACAGCTTTATTTCCTTTGTACCGAGGAGAAGAACCATTACTTTTTAACTTAATTGTCTATGTCAAAATATGTTAGATTTAAAAGTTCTTCACGATTAAGGTGAAGTTTGTGGGCGGGGTTGTACAGTGGCAAGTGACGTACTATCATCTCGTACAGTCCGGGGTCGGAAAATGGAATCTCCGAGTCGATACTCGCCCATGCCAACAAGGCCTTCCATCCCTCCGGTGTCAGTTAACTGTTATTAAGTTCGTCTGAAGGGCAAGAATACTGATTTATACATTGGCTGACCACCACAAGTCGTTGTATAGGCCACATAGCCCTCCAAATATCATTACGATTCTGAGTGGAAGTGGACTGCGGTGCGGATCTCAAAAACGTAAAAAATGGTTATTCTCAATGTTTCTTGTTTTATTTGCAGATCTATTGTGTCGTTTGCAGTGCCCTTCGTTGACGTAGTGAGAACTTGATTCAAAACCAATTCACATTCAAGTAATCTAATACAGTACCAATATTTACAGTATCACTTTTCAGATGCGTTTATTCTCCGCAATTTTCGCCGTATTTCTTGTACTCCTCAGCACAGTAGTGAGTTAAATGTTATTTTTTCCTGGTGCTTAATGAGCATGTCTACCCGGGTAAACGTTGTTTGCCACCACCGTTGATGACAGGAACGAAATCCTACGTAGGAACCCGGTTAGAACCGTAATCCAGCTGTATACTCTCGCCCTACGAATTTTCGGAATGCAACACAACCCGCTCGGTTCTCCATCCACCCAGGTCCTTTCCTCTCCTGTGCTTGCTCCATCCGATACTCCATCCACTCAGGTCCTTTCCTTGCTTGAGGCTCACTTTCGATGTGTCTACGTGAGACATAGAGGATCTGCGCATCCATATAAGATTATGCCGTGGAGTGGAATATGTTGTCTGTAAAATTCCGCGTCCTCTGTGTTTTATTCCACGAATGGCCACTTCAAGAACCGGGTTCCCGTCACGAATTCTCGTCCCCGTCGGTGAATGGGATGCACCTCAGCGGTTCTCCTGTAATACTTGGTTCACTGGGGACAGGATATCCCGACAGGTTAGCTCTACGATCCCGAGCCAGTCCAGGGCAGTATTCTGTTGGAAGTTATTCTGCTAGGATGAGTAACTAGTAACTGCTTTCAGGTAGCCTTCAATGTGCCATCAGGAATGTGCAAGGTCGGTAAGGGAGGAGACTGTATGCGATGTGATTGCAAAAAGCCATTTCAATGCTATAAAGGCCAATGTCGATAAACAACAACATCGTTAAACATTCAAGTCAACTTGTCACTAATACGGAAGAGTTCTACAAATAGCTCTTTTTTTAATATAAATATTTGCATTCAACAAAATTTTCGAAGCTTTTATCAAGAAGTTGTTGACTAGGTCGTTCCCATGGTGGCGACTATAATGGCCGTTTCGCGGAGACTCTTTCGGTACTACAGTTGCCATTGTCTTTTTCAACTGTCTTTTCAGAAAGCGTAAGGACCTCCAAGCACCGGTGGATGAAAGACCATTGACATTACTACTACCCAACCTGTACCACGTTGTCATGGACGCCTTTTTATGCCCTTCACAACTGCCCTGCTATTTGCTCTGAAATCTCAAGGGGACCTCTTACAAGGGAAGGATCCCAAGTCGAAGTGGCCATTTTAAATGAGACCTACACTGCTATACGTATTTCCGGGGCGCTGATTTCAAATCTGCTTTTCAAAATTCACCATGGATTCATGTAGACCAAATCCAGCCTGGTGGTAACCAAGTCAAGACTGTTACTCCAGTAGCCACAGCCTCTTAGCCATTACCAGCACATCCAAGAGAAGGCTATTTCGAAGTACTTGAATGTAATAGAACCCAGAATCGACCTCCGTGAGAATGTCCTATGCAGATTTATTAATGAAATCGGAAAGACGTACGTGTATTCAATTTATTTGAAAGTCATTCGTGGACACTCATGTTTGAAGATAAATAAATGTTCGTATTCCTTCAAACAGTCCAGCAAATGAACCAAATGAAAGGGCAGAAGACTGCTTCGGCCGGTTTGGGCACCATCTGCTACCACAGCCAACAGACAAAGCTTCAGTGTAGCACTACAGAAAACCGTTCATTGTATCCACAACCACTGACTGCCCCGTACTGTTTCCCGATTAGGTTATGACTTATATCCCACCCACTTCTCTTCGGTCGAAAGTTGATCAGAAATACCCATAGCTAACACATTTCGAACAAAATCTTCATAATTTGCATCAACAATTAAAGCATAGTATATATTTGTATAATGCTGAGGGTAATTACCGTAAANAAACACAACTTATTATGCATAGAGATCACACACGTATTCATTAATACAAGTATTATAAGAAAATACTAATTTGACAAAACAAAAATACTCCCTGAACAGGGCTATGACGACGGAAACGATTAAAGCACAGTGGTGAAGGCAACCGAATCTAGTGAGTTCAAAGGTACACTTAATAGCTCTGTTCACGATTTCAAACGGGTCTCCTGAAACGAACAGATTAGAAAGTACATAGGAAGCTCTACTAGTATTTAGGCAATTACAATGCAACACATTGTGGTGATTTTTTAACGATTCAATATTTTATATGCTATTTATATCGTTTTGCCTAAAACCAATAATAATCTTAGTCTTCTTGCAAATTAAAAAGCTGATTACAACACTAAGAAGTGAGTCCCACTATTAGGCGACTGCAAAATCTAACTCTCAGCTATGGAAAGGCTGTCATGAAAACATGCTAACCCTGCGCCATGTACCGCTACGTCTGGGGCGGAGGAGGGGTAGTGGCTGGCAAGTGGCTCTGTATCAGATACACACGGAAATCGATCCCCGGATTGATATTTCCCCAACCAACCAAACCATCTATCCCTTTTGGGTCGATTTACATCGACTGGCCACTGCCGTTGTATAGGCTTTATAGAAGCTAATTTTCTCCCAAAAACGGAATGGGCAATATTCTGGATCATTACAAGGCAGATTGACGGATCACGGGATCCGTATAGTTTAGGTGGAGCTACAATTTGCATTCATAGAATTTGACTAATTATTAACAGGCCTAGAGCACCTTTCCAATTATTTGTTTGCTTTCGAAATCGTAGAACACTACTCGGAAATGGGCATACGAAACTTCATAGCTCTGTTGGGAAGATGATGGGAAGTGGTGCACTTGGTCGAGCAACGACTGTTGATAAGGACCACTTGAGGACCTTCCGCGAAACAAACACAACAACTGTTAGGGAGCTCCTTGCAGGGTCAGGATTTATGTGAGAATGTTACGGGCCTGAGAAGGCTTATGAGACATTGGATGGGTGTGACCGGAAAAGTGGCTCAGAAAGTGCCATAAGGGCTCAAGAATCGAGCCCGACATGCAGGGTCAATACTTCCAAAAAGGGTGTGTTCAATGGTGTGGAGGCTGCGTCACTTCATAACACAGGCAATTCAAAATAAAGCACGTCTGCTGGAAGTTTAATCAGCTGCTACACGTTATTTGCTATCACATGACGGGGGAGCCTCTTCCCTTGCTCTGCCGTAACAGAACTCTCGTCCACCCCTTTCGCAGTCATAACTTCGCTCAATCCTAAAATTTAGGTAGTTCCGAAAAGACCTGCATTTCAATATCTATCCAGATTTAGTCATTTCACGACGACAGTACCATTCTGTATAAGTATCATCGGCCTATAATCCATTCAAGGTACAGGAAATTACAGCGGGCACTACCAGGAAGGTGAAGGACGACTAGGAATGGCGTGGGCACTCCTGAAAAGCTAAACTAGCTCCTCCATAAACCCTCTAACGCCGTTAGGTTCGGAGGTGGTTGTCACTTGCATGCAGCGCAGTAATAAAAAGATCGTTCTTTTGCAAAATTTGGAACAAACCTCAAAAGAAATCACATCAGATGAAGTAAGCAAGACAAATAAATAGACACGTAAGTCAAAGTAATTAGCGGAATTTCGAAAACAACAAAATAAACAAAAAGTAAAAAGAAAAACAAAAACAAAAATATTAACTCTAATGCAGCGCATAATTGATATACAGTGATCACGCTCACGTACCGTTGAACAACTGTTGATGGTGGGGCGGTTTTCGCCGAGTCGTTGTCGAGACTTCTGATGAGTGCTTCATTCACCTCATTCTCTTCTGTGGCGCCTTCCATACGAGCCGATACTGAGGCCACATGGCGAGGAGACCTAAATTATTACAATTCTCCAAAAACAGTCAATACGAGAACCTCTAAACAAGAATAACTGTACATTAAAAACAAGTAAGTAAAAAAGCGTCTCACCCATACGTTCGATACGGTGGGACCATCCTCTCCAGTATAATTACAATTCTCCAAAAACAGTCAATACGAGAACCTCTAAACAAGAATAACTGTACATTAAAAACAAGTAAGTAAAAAAGCGTCTCACCCATACGTTCGATACGGTGGGACCATCCTCTCCAGTATATCTTGGCTAACCAATGAGTTGTCAATATTTTGGCCAAGTGCATTACGCATTCGTTGTCGGTTAAGATCAGGAGCTGAACCATCATTATGTGATTCGATTAGGAGACATTGTTAGACTCTAAGCCAGTATCAAGGGTACCTGGAGGAGGAGGCCAATATCGTGTAACCTCTTCTTCGATGGGATCAGCTACATGTGGCATAGAATTGCTTCGTTTCAATTTTTCTTCGATGCCGAAATACGACTTCCATAAGGATAACACAAGGTCCGTACCAAATATTACCTAGAAATAATACAGGAAAGCTAATAAATAGACTAATTATAGACGACGTCAAGTGCGACTGCCCATTATAAGTCGTAGGTGAAACACAGAACAGACTGTAGGGTCCCCACGCTTGTGTTGTGATTATATAAATGAAATTGCTTTAATTATACAGATATTCTATGAGAAGTGAATTAAACATCGATGAGTTCCTATGAGCCGTTTCAAAAGTCTAAATATAAAACTGTGAGTTTTAGAATAGGAGCCTAGTTCGTGGTGCGACCGAATATGAAAGTTGAATGGGCGTCGCTTACCAAAGGAAAATGTTTGTATCTATGGTTAAAAGGGTTCTTCGACAGCTCTCTGCTGTTAGCACCGCCATTTCACGGTCAGATTGTGGGGTTTAACCCAATTCAAGCTCAAATTGTGATACACCTACAGCAATGTATGCTGCTTTCCTGATTCTAACTGAGCTGTGGCAAAGAAATGATTTTTACTGTACATTAACGTTAAATATCTGAATATATAGGAATACATTGAGACGATTCGCGAACAGTGAGGTAACAACTATCGAGGGCTCGTATTTAGGACAATGAATGCTGCTTTCCTGATTCTGAATGAGCCGCGCTAATGAGATGTATCTTATTCACTTGACGTTAAACTTTTGATCATACAGAAGAAAGTTGAGACCAACAGTATGGTAAAAACAACGGAGAACTTGTATTGAGTACATTTTAGTACGTATAAAGAAGTACCATGAACCCTTCGAATAAACCTATTCAAACCAGCAAAAAATTACTTCCACCTAATGTAAGCTCACCTTACTCGCAAGTGCTGTTTCAGATAAATTTAGCCAATACACTTTTATTTGAGGTCCCAAAAATCATGCAGGAACTGC